TGCGGGCGGGGCCCCCCGCCCGCCGCAGGCCGGTGGCCCTGGTGTTCTCCAAAGCAGAGCTCAGCATGCTGGGGGTGAGGGTGCTCCTTCCAGCCCTTGTGCCCACCCCTGCTTGCAGACACCAGGGCTTCCCTGTTCTTTTGCTTCCCTAGGGCCTCCAGGTCCTCCTCGGCTTGCTGCACTTTGGCGTTGGTGGCATCCTGGTTTCCTTCATCAGGAAGCCTGTGGAGATGCTGACCATGGAGTCCTGGTACCTCTTCTGGGGGGGACTCTTGGTGAGGAGCCCATTGGCCAGGGCTGGAGCAAGGAGCAGGGGGTGGTGGACAGGGTGGCAGGGCACGTAGGGTGTCCCGGGACACCCGCAGCAACCCTGGCCATGCTCAGCTTCCCTGGGGCCATGCCCTGCAGAGGGGCAAAGCCACCCCTAGTGCAGCGGGGGACAGGTAAGTGCCCATGGCCTCAGGATAGGGCCCGCTCCATCACGGACACATTCGCCTCTCCACACAGTTCATCTCCTCTGGCTCCTGCTCCATGGCGGCAGAGAAGAACCAGAGCAGCTACTTGGTAAGTGGGGACACGGGGTCTTTGTGGCCAAGGAAACCCCGCCAAGGAAAAGAGGCAACAGAAAAAATGCCCGTGGTGGCTCCGGAAGGGGCAGGAGGGAGCCTGCTCCAAGGAGGGTGCCCGCCTGCCTCTGTCCCACTCAGATGAAGGGCTGCATGGCCCTTAACATCACCAGTGTCCTCGCCACAATGGTGGGCATCATCCTGGTGCTTTGGGACCTCAACATCTGCAATGAGCTCTGCTACGGGCCTGCACTACAGCTGGAGCTGGTGAGCGCAGGCTCGAGGTGGTGCTCATGGGGCCTGGGTGTCGTGGTGGCCACGTCGGGACGGGGAGAGGGGTGCCCGTTCCCAAGGGCTGGCATGGACGTCCCTGCTTCTCGAATATATTAATATGCTTTCGGCATTACCCTGAGCTTTTTGAGATGTGCAGAGTTTATGCAAGGAGGGAAGGGTGTTATTTGCCCCCTCGCCTCTGTGGCTGGGGTTGTAACATCTCGGCAAATCCGAGCGAGGAGAAGCTGGCAGCTTGGGCTCACCGTGACGCTCTCCTTGGCAGCGTGTGACCAGGGGGCTCCTGGGCATCTTGCTGATGTTCACACTGCTGGAGACCTGCATCACCCTCGCCTGCACCTACCTGGGGTGGCAAACCCAGCTGGTTACCTCCATGCAGGTGATCCCCGCAGCAGCCAGATGCACAGGGGGAGGTGGAAGGACTCCTGCCTCTGGCTATGCCAGAGGGAGAAGGTCTCCAGGGAGGGTGGTGCGGGGTGGTTCAGCTGGCCTCGCAGGGATGTGTTCACCTGCACAGGCGCCTCCAAATCCCCGTGGAGCCACCATGTAGGATGGTGCAGCATCCACCGCCACCTGAGGACGGCTCTGACCGAGCAGGAGCCCGTGCTGCAAACTGGCAGAGAGGGGAAGGGGTGACAGGCGTCCTTGCTCCGCAGGCTGCAGATTTCATGGCCAACGTGGTGCCTCCGCCCGTGCTGGTGCTGCCGCCGCCTCCGGCTTATGACGAGATATTTATGAACACAGACAGACGTGCCACGTAGAGGGGGGCGCTTGGAGCCTGGCTTAGCCCTGCGCTGGCCTCCTGCTTCCCCCGACCCTTTGGCTCCCTTTTTCTCCATGGGACCCGGCTCTCCTTCCTGGCTCTCCAAGTGTCTTGGCCGCACGCTGGGTTTCGCAGGCCCGGGATTT